AATAATTTGAATTATGAAGACAGAATAAATAAAGGTGGGACTCAGGAGGGGGAGGTGTCCTGGTTTTCTCTTTTGTTTTATTTTTATATCCAGTGAGTAGTGAGAGCTTCCTTTAATTATCTCATTCACAGAAAGCCCTCCTCCACCACCTTTTTAATCCTTGGTGTACGGACAACCCATGATTTGAAGTCACTAGACAGTGTGATCACGAGACTCTCCCACACACATATATGTATATATATAACCTCTTTCTCTAAAGTTTATAAGTTTTAGTTTTGAATGTGTTCATCAAAATAAAAAGAAAAAGGTTTTGCATGTGAACAAATTAACAAACTAGAATAACTAGAATAGATGCCTATATTTTTCAAACTTCTCTTTAATAAGTACATAAGAACACATACATGTCGGACTACAAAATTAAGAAACACAAATGCTCAAATTGTTAATGTGGTGACAATGAATCATAGATTCACAGCCAATGGAGACCTAATTGGTTCGATATGTTATTATTATACAAGTAAATATATCAGTGAAAAGAAGGGGGTAAATAGCCTTTTTTTTATTCTTATCTTTGGGCAGATAATACAGTTTTGTGGAGAGCAGTCAATAGAACACAGTATTGATAGGGAGGATGTAAGCCCACAGGCCACTACATGTGGTAAGGAAGTGGTGGTGGTGGTGGTTTGACTCCCAATGTCCGGAGGAGAATGACAGTAGAATGGCAGGTGATTCTCGGAAAAGAAAGAGAAAATATGCGATTCTCCACCTTCATTAAGGTTTATGGATATCTTATTAATGGGTGGGTCTCCATATAAATTATCGTCAAATTAAGATATCAATATAAAAAAAAAAATACTTAAGCCTCGTTCGCTTTTCGGTAAGTTAATTATTTGGGTAAATGTACTTACCTAAATAAGTATTTTCTGGGAAATATTTAACAAGTAAATGTATTTATTCATGTTATTTTATTTTTCAGGTAAATAAGGTAATGGCTATTTTAGCCATAAAATTCTATTATCAAAAGGGACATTTTTTTTCCCACAAGTGTTGGTAAATTTTCTAAGATGGAAAAATTAATTTACCCACCTAGAAGGGGAGGAAAATAAACTTTCCCTGATCCCCACATAAATCAGAAAAAAAAAAGAACATGGATTTCTCAACGCCCCATTTGGTGTGTCTTTTTACATAGGCTGTCGGCTTTTTAGAAGCCCAGCAACCCGCATTTTCGTCTTTTCCCATTTGGTTGGGAAAAGATCTAACTGCAGCCCCAAAAATATGTAAAAAGCTTGTTTTGGGCTATTTTCAGGAAGCACCAAATGGAGCTTTTCATTTTTTTTTTCAACTCGTCTTCACATGGAAGGATGCATGAAAAGATGTGCCTTAACCAAGGTTCAAAGTATCGACACGTATCAACCCGTATCGGTCGATACATATCGTGCCGATGGCTTCCCGATACGCTCCTCCAGGGGTTGTATCGGGTCAGACCATGGTTCAGAGGGTAGCTAGGAATTAAAACGACTCCTTTGAGCCAGTTTTGAAAAAATTAAAAAAAAAGCACTAACACAAACCGATACCAACGTATTGGCCTATGTCAATACTTTGAACCTTGGCCTTAACCAAACGGTCTTTAAGCTGCTAAGGTCTTAATGCCAAAACTAACATCATCTTTTGACTGTCAGGCTTGTCAGAAGATGTTTTAAAAAAGACTTGCCAAACGGCTCCTCCCATAATGAAAAAAAGAAAAGCAAATTAGGCAAATGTGAAGAATAACCATACATGGAATCAACTGTTTTAATTGCAGTTTGTGAATGACACACGGCACAGTAAAGTGGGAAAAAAAAAAGAAAGAAAATTGAAAAGAAGATAGCAGATCCGTAGAATTGCTAGAAAAGGATGTCTACTATCTAGACAACAGATAGATACAAGTCTTTTACAAGGTCCTTTCATGGAGTCATTCCGTTATGTCAATCAATTTGATGCATGAGGTTACACCAGGAAACACAACCATAGTAAGGATTCCCTCATTTGGAAGATATCAGTATTTTTTCAGTAACAATTTGTTCACTCCAATCAAAAATACCAACTTCAATGAATTCCCCATTCCCTCTCAGGCTCTCACATCTCAATTTAACGTCATTTTGACTTTTCTTTTGGTAATTGTGATTTAGATTGGTATATAACGAGAAAGGAGGGAAATACATCCTCTGTGATGGATGCTTTGTTTGGTCTGAAGGAAAAAGGTAGGAAAACTTATAAAGGTTTTCTATTATTTCCTTCCTTTTTCTACTTTTTCCTTCAAACCAAATACAGTATAACTTGATGATTTTATCTATTAACCATTATTATGTAGAGTAGGTCCGTGTCTGACATAACATAATGGCTACATAGGTGACTTGGTCTTCCACTCCGATTTTCTTAATGTCATTGCTTCCTACTGAGATGTAATTTTTCTAAGTTTTATTAATGCAATAAACCTAAGGGGGATTTCAAAATAAATAAATAATAATAAAAATGGATTAAAATTAAAGGATTAAATAGGTAAGAGAAAGTAGAAGGAAACATAAAACTACTGCTGCTGATGATCTCACTATTTATTTATTTGTGACGTCCCAAATTCCCAATGTCCCTTAATAATATTCGTGAACCCTGTATTTATATTATCTATATCTATGTATTAATTGTATATTTCACTACGTCAAAGGATAATTAATAAATATTGAGATTTCAATCCAAAAACACAAATTTGCAGGGGCTACATAGCTTCTTGGTTCTTAGGTGACATATCTCATCCCTATCCTTATACCAGCTAATAAGAAAAAGATAATTTTAACCCATGAAGCAAAGCAAAGCAAAGCAAATGGTTCGATTTAAAATGGTTACATTGAGATGTGATTGGTTAAATAGGGGCTCCACACCTTTTTCCTAGACTATTCTTTTAATTTTCTTTCTCTTAAACGAATGAATATCCATGCACCTATACCCTACAAGTTTGTCATGGTTTATAATTCTCAAAACCATAGCAATATTTGTCTTGCTTGTGTATATCAGAGCCCATTGGAAGATGATGATGTTTTCAGCTAGGGTTGCGCTTATATTAAATAATAGGAATTCAATAGATGTGTTTAATTTAATTAAGACATACAATAACATCTAAACAGTAGGCCCTGAACCAAATCTTTTATTTTACAACTTTGGAATTTTATTGGGCATAAAAGAAGAAAGAAGGAGAACTAGGTAGTGGAATATTTCTTTTAATTTGCATTCTTAAGCAACGTTAAGCACTACTTAATGCTTGAATACTTATTTATGCTAAATTTGTATACTAGGTTCTCTCTCAATAATAGAATATAGTAAGTATAATGCGCAAAATCTACGGTGCACTCACTCCACCATGTAGCAAAAGATGTGATTGGTTGAACAAGATGGTAAGTTTACCTCATTAAGCAATGTGAACCAATGAAAAGTAAGCAAATTTTAATATAATTGGTTAGGAACCGATTTTAATGTTGGTGAATGCACCATGGATGAATTCATTATAAGGGTATCTATTTTAGTAAAAAATATTAAAACATGGATTTGGGAATTTGTTTTTTGTTTAATTTGGCAGTTTATACTATAAAGATAAGATTTTGGAAAGGGATAAAAGGGAAAGAAAAAATAAAGAACAAGTTGAGATAAAACTAAAGGGAGAGAAAAGGAAAATGAAGCGTACAGTAATGACAATACAGTTAGATACAACAAAAGTTCACATTTCTTACTTAGAACATAGAGTTTTGAGAGAAACATGTATTAGAAAATTAGGGTCCATTTGGTTTATAGTTGAAATTGGAATCAGAATTGAAATCCATCAGAATTAAAATCAGAATCGGAACGGTTTATTCCCTTGCCTTGTTGGTGCAAACAGGAATTATAATCAGTTAGAATGAATTTGCATTCCCAAGGGGGAATGGCCATTCCACAAGAATGGATCATTCCGATTCCGATTCCGATTCCAAACCTCTATTCCTATGAACTAAATAGATCCTTAACACCTTCAAAAGGTGAAACCAATTTGAATATTCACAAAAAAATATTGAACATCAAAACCTTGACGTTTTTTCTTAAAAAACCCTACCGTTGTCAAATAACCCTAATTTAAGAAAATGGGATTTCATCTTTTAATGGACACGTATTTACGCAATTGTAAAATGTGGCTGTGTAGTGGTTGAAATGGGAAAAATATCTGCTTTCACATAAACTGGACCAAAACTATTAACAAGTTCTACTTGAAGCAATATTAATTTATTTTATCTGGTTTTCCTAAAACATGATAGTGAATTTTCTATATCGTAAGGAATATGCAAAATGCATCAGATTTCCTCTATTTATTTGAGCATATATGTTATTTTGTCTAAATCAAAATTTACACACAATGGAAAACCATGTATTGTCCAAAAAAACGTTACTAACTATAAGATTAACTAATTAATCCCTCTACATGCCTTCCATGTGGAGGGTATTATAATCGTTTATTTTGGCTGAAATAATGCAAGTAAATTATAGTATTCGGAGCCAAACTCTTTGAAGTCACTTCAACAAAAAAATCAAAGGGAAGATATAAGAGATGAAAATTTGTTATAAATATATAGCATTAAATGTGATGAATATGTAACATTATATTTAATTTACTATCTTTTAAAGGACAAAGATATTAAGAAGAACGAATAATTGTAACTCTTCCATTTCACTATTATTACCACTCCCTTTTGAATAATCTAAGAAAATTAGGAACTGGAACCTACCCTATGAAGACTGGTTCTAAGGTTGGTTCTAGTCTCGGCAGTTCTAGGATTAGTTCCAAGGGCATTTTTAAATGACCAAAATTCCACACCCAGTGCCAGATGATTACGTAAATTTGTTTCAATTAGTATTAATGTCAGAAATGTAGTGGAGCAAAGGTAAATATCTGCTGAGTGCTGACTACTTCATAACTCACGTTAGCGAGACACAACGGGAGGGAGCGAGAGCGCGAGAGCGGACAACGAACGGGAGAATTGGGAGCGGAGTCACGTCGGGAGGGGCCAGAAGGCCCACCACGTGAATAGAAGAAGCATTCACTATCTCTCTCTCTCCTTTTCTCACCGCGTCGCTCGTTCATCCATACATCCCTTTTTACGTCCCATCTTTCCTCCTTTCTTTCTTCTTCTCTCTTCCCTTCTCGCTTCAAGTCACTGTTCATTTCTTCCCCAAAACCCTCTCCCTCTCACAAAAACCTTAGAGCCCACCCTTTAAAGAATACCAAAATTCAGGAACCAAAATGAATGAAAATAGTGAAAACATAGAGGAAATCTCCCTTTCTTCAATGAAAGATCCTTAGCTCAGTGCAAAAAAAGACCTAGCTACAGCGAATCGAAGAAAAGAAGAAGAGAGGAGAGATAGCCATCAAACTACCAAAAGGGAAATTGAGAAATTGGAGGTAGCAAGAACCCACCCCCAGAGATCAAAAGAGAAAGAGAAGAGAGACAACCTACCACGAAAAAGAAGAAAAGATCAATACCCAAAAAGAGGAATATAGAGATAGACATACACGACACGACAGTGATGGACTCAACATCAGGTGGTGCATCAGAGACCAACGCCGGCGAAGGCCCGTCAGCAGCAGGACTCGGAGCCATAGAAGGATCAACGGCAGCGCCTCCGAGTCGGTACGAGTCCCAGAAGAGACGAGACTGGAACACGTTCTTACAGTACCTGAAGAACCACAAGCCCCCTCTATCGCTGGCAAGGTGCAGTGGGGCACACGTAATCGAGTTCCTCAAGTACTTAGATCAGTTCGGTAAGACGAAAGTGCACCTGACTGGTTGTGCCTACTTCGGACACCCAAACCCTCCTGCGCCCTGTGCGTGTCCGCTTAAGCAGGCCTGGGGAAGCCTCGACGCGCTCATTGGACGGCTCAGGGCTGCCTATGAGGAGAACGGTGGACGGCCTGAGTCCAATCCGTTTGGGGCGAGAGCCGTGAGGATATATCTGAGGGAGGTGAGAGAAGGGCAAGCCAAGGCAAGGGGGATACCATATGAGAAGAAGAAGCGAAAGAGACCAACGACGACGACAACCGCAACGCCTTTAGCGGCAAATGCTTCGTCAGCGGTGACTAAAATGGTTGATGGTGGTGGTGGCGGTTCCTCTTCAGAAGCTGGGTCTGCTAATGTTGCTCCCGCTACTACTTCCGTATAGCTTCACTAATTCTTCTCTTCCCTTTTTTTTCTTTATTTATTTTTAATTGTTATTTCGAGTTATATTATATGGCGATTCTCTTTATTATCTTGATCAACTCTATGACCTGATGATCGAAACCAAATGGAAATCTTCTATCTCTCATTTGAGATCAGTCAAATTGGATAAACCCCAGTTTTTTTTTTTTTTCTTTCTCATCTTCTTCTGGCTGTACTGTGGAGTATGTTGAGCTTTTCTTTTTTTCCTCATCACATGAACCATGAAGTAAGAAAAGGAAGAAAGATAAATTCTGAGATTTCAGGGCGATTCTCCTTGCTTGTCCTTTTTTGGAGCTAGTTGCTTTCAAATAATGAAGCGAAACCACTCACCCATTATTTTTTTTATTCTTTTTTGGATCTTTTTGTATCCATTAGCATGTAGCCTCATCACTCCGATCTCATCTGCCCATTGGGAGAAATAATTAACCTTTGAACTAGAATACAAGATCAAAATATAAAAAAAAAAAGACAAGAAAAATCCAACATGTTCTTACAATAAGAAGACATGGTAAATTTAAGAAGGAAGAAAATTTTCATGTTTACTCCTTTCGTCTTTCTTTGAGACCTTAAGTATATATCGTTAAGAACTCCCAGATTTCATTCTGCTGCCAATTTTGTATTTTGATGGTTGAATGTTTTTCAATGTTCTTATCTTTACTTGTTCAAAATTGGGATGGGGGTGGGGGCTGGTGTTGCTCTAGAGTGCTAGAGCTCGCTTCATTTAGGTTGATTTTCATCAATGGCAATAGTAGTGCTGATGCTCTACTCATGTGATGAGCAGGCAAGGCGGGTCTCCACAATACTAATAGAGACGTCTAGACCACTGAGAACAACTGGTCCCGGATCGGCTCGACTTCCGATCCGGAGGAATCTTATTCTTATCAGGCTTTGATGGGGGCACACGTGCGTCACTGCCCCACAAATATGCAGTTTCAGCTTTTCAGGTGCTCGCCTCCCATTCTTCAACGAAGGTGAGAGACCCTGATTTGGGACTATATATATATATATAGAGAGAGAGAGAGAGAGGGGGGTTAGTGAATGTAGGGAGGGAACTCTGTCTTGTCTCGTCTATGGTGGTGGATAGAAGAAACAAAATTTTTACACCTGCGATCAAATGAAAAGGAAAATGAAGAAGTGAGGAAGGCAGAAGAAGTCTGCAGGGCTGTTTCCACTTTCCAGTCTTGTTTGTTTTATATCTGTAACAACCATCTCGGTGTGAAAACGACCAGCTGCCGACCCCTATTCCGCCCAGTTTATTTAATTAATGGTAGATCTCATTGTTGCTGTGTTGTGTATTCTCTGTATATATATATATATATATATATTAAAAGAAAACCCACGAATCACTGGCCTATGATCCCCAGTTGAGATTTTCTATTTTAGAAGTTGGGACTCGGAGTCGGAGAGCTGTTGGAGTTGTTCCCTCGTTATCCACGAGCACGAACGACATCCCCACGTTTGTGTGTTTTTCTCTTCTTCCTCTTTCTATACCTAAACCTAACTATGATGTGTTTCCATTTCTTTTTAATGATTAATAAACTATTTGTAGTTGAACCTTTACATATATATTGCAACTTGAGCTAACTGAAAAGCAGAAAAGTTTGATCATTAATTGATGAGCTCGTCTCCGGCCAGCGTCTGCAGTCTTATTTGAAAATGTCCGTCTCTTCATTTTTCTTCCTCTTATTACGACTCTCGCTCGATGAAACATCCTTGACAGTAGTTGAAACATGACTTGCCTCTCTCTTTCTCCTTTTATTTTTGTTCCTGCTGATGAATATGCCAGGCTAATAAGACCTACAAATTTATGTATGCTTTCCATTTCATGTTGAAAGCATCCCAATAAATAATCACCAAGGCTATGTTTGCTTTCAAGGAAAAGGAAAGGAAAGGAAAGGTAGGGAAACCCATACAAACTTGTAAAGGTTTCCTACCTTTCCCTACTTTTTCCTTCAAACAAAACATTAGGGTTAAGAAGCCCAGAAAAACATATAGGAAAACGCCAAATATTTTATTATAGTTTTTGCTCTACACTGGGTCTATGTCACACTGGTTGACTGTACGTAGAGGGGTAAAACTTCTATAGAGAGAGAGAGAGACTTATATTAGATAAATTTGATCAAAAGAAGCAAAGCTAATGGATTGGTAGAAAGAGAAAGGCTGAATGCTTACTATGTCGTCACACGACAAATGGTGTCTACAATGTTATTTCAAGAGGAGAGGAGGAACAGAGAGGGAAGAGCGGAGAAAGGCAGAGGGGGGTTTAAGAGCATCTGCACCGTCTGGTCTTGTCTACACTTCCACCAATTAATATAAATTCATGGTTTCTGAAAAGGAAATAAGAATATGCTTAATAAAAATACTTCAATCAATTTGAACACCACAACCACACCACGTCACCCATCTCCTCAGTCCTCCCCATGTTCATTGCTCTCCAGTCTTAACCCTTTTAAATGGTATTGGTTCCCTTGTGCAACTAAAACATTTTTCTGCATGCAGCAAAAATTTACCACAATACCACCCAAACGTGAAAAATTAATTAATTCAAAACGACAAAATTAAATTACACGTGACTAGTTTGTTGTAGCATGGGCCGTATGTTGACTCACCCAACATGTTATGTTAGTGGTTACTAGGCCTTTTTCTTGCAGGGCTGTTTGTTTCTTTGTTATGACTTGCGAACCAACCCTACACACCACAGTGTCACAGTGTCAGTGTCGTGTGGCGGCAAGGCAACAACGACTACACCCCTAAAAATCTAAAAGTAAAGATGGAATCCTCCTCTTGTTCTCTCTGGATTTTGACTCCTACCGCTCATTGTAATTTAACGCATATATTCAAAAGACGTATGATATGGACGCTCCATATTCTTTTCTAATCGTAATCTTAATCAATTCTGGCTGGCTGGCTCGTCTATTGCTTATATTAGCTTATATATTGAATTGGATTTGAGTATCAAGTGTGGGCCCTGATTGTATTTAAAAGCTTGTCTGTCATTTGAGGGCCCTGATTGCCTTTCTCTTTTTAAATTCTCAGTCGGTTGGATTGAGCATCCAATGGTGGGTCTAAGATATCCCCTTTACCCTTTTGTGTACACCATGAACACACCAAAAGAATATAGTTGCCAGTTTCCAATACCAGTCGTTTTAGGGAAGGAAGATATACAGAAGCTCATGTGGCAACCCCAAAAGGCTCCACATTGTTTGCCACGTTTCCGTCACTTGATTTGTCAAGTTCAGTCTCCTGGCCCGCTGGCCAAGCCGTATGTCACGAGGACAAGGAGGTAAGTAGGTAACATAACATCTCTCTCTATCTCTCCTCTGGTGTTTCCCTTAATTTATTGCCAAGGCCAGAATCTAGTACAGAACGGGGGAGAATAGATCATGTGGCATTAGACACGTGGCTAGTTAATTTGTAATAGTTGTATTAATTGACCAATGACAAGAGCTGGGAAAACGTACTGGTCGTCCAGGGAGGGAAAATAACAGGAAGCCGTGTAGCCGAGACATTTGGCTTTTCCTTTTCAAAATTATTGCTAGGTTTTATTAAACTGACATCGAATGAAAGAAGGTTGAAGAAAAAAAAAAAGAAATATATGCAAATGACGTCGTGTTCTAGAAGAGAACTTTTCACTTTGGGTTTTGCAGGCTTTATATTTATGTTATTGGGATGAATAATTATATGTGTCATGTGTGGTATATCTTGTAACTTATCGGATTAGCTCGGGGTTGTTTGTTTACCCAGATGTAAATTCAATTAAGTGACATTGTTTTACCTACTTTCATGTATCGGAACACGACACGAGATATAGCATATCCGCTGGTAGCCGATTCGCAAATTGAAATGTGAGAGAGACACTGTACAGTGCCGTGTTGTACTGACCACTGAGTGAGTACTGAGTACTGACCGAGGAGTGAGGTCGACTCGATATGGTATTTATAGGCCCAAATTTTTTGTGTACCTCATTTCCCCAATCGAATTAAACGGTCTCCTGCCTCTCCAACACGCAATCAATGGCGTTTGTTTTGATTTTTTATTTTATTTTGAAACGCCCAAACAAACGTGAAGTAAAAACCTACAGAAATTAATTCTGCAGGATCACTGGATTGACTAACCCAGGCCCATGCATCATACCTGTTTTGTTTGGATGATTTCACTTTAAAAGTCTTTAATCTTAAACCGTTTATCAGATCTCCACTATGTACAGAGTATCCTAATTCCTAAGGTGGGCCTCTTCTCAAATGGTTTTATTGCTATCCAGCTCCGATTAGATGATTAATACCAACAAATGGAAATAGCGGTGTCGGTCTGGGAGGGAAACCAAGAACCAATGGTGGGTTCCACCAATAACTCCAACATGTTGGAAATTTCTTGTGTTATCCGAAACCCAAAGGAATAGTATAGAGGATGCGTGTGGCCCGATGCCATATTATATTACCTATTGTTTATTTTCTTATAATCGCTCTCCTACGTTCTAGAATCTAGCTAGTCTACCTTCTACGTTAGTCTCAACTCACGCAAATACGCTTTGACCATCGTCGTGGATCAATTCGGCAATAGACTTGTGGCTAGTCCAACTACTGCTTATTCCGATCTAAAGGCCATCGTTTTACATGCGTTATTGTGAACATCGTAGTGGTCGACAGCGTGGACTGCTTGAGTGCTTATCACCATGCTATATCTCCTACCCCAAGATCATCAGAAATGGGATTCAACAAAAATAATGAAACAGTTGGCATGGGCTGACTTGTCTTGGCCGATTTTATAGAAGAGCAATATAGGCCCTGAATTTGCTCCGATCATTTGTAGTCGTGGTTTCATTTATTCAAAACTTAACTAAGTTGCTTTTTATTTTTATAATATTTATAAAAGTCTTAATATTTTTATTTCTTAAAGAGTACGTATGTGGTGATTTGATTTATCAAGTAACGTTTATGTATAATGTTTTAATTATTAAAAAGCTCATTTGGAGCCAAATTTGGGGCGAGGTGGACAAATACCACCCTCACCCCATTTCTAGTCACCTGTTTCAAGTTTCACTGAAACCCACCACCAACACAACAATTAAACAAAAAAAAAAACTGCCCCATCCAGCCTCAGTGTGGGATGGGACAAATTGCCATCCTAGTAAACATCAACAAAGCAA